GTTCAAATCTAAGGAGGAATAAAAATTCTCTTGTGGCCACAGAGGTTCAAATGCGGTGACTCCAGGCTATCTGCAAAGCAGGTGGTCGCCCTAGGATTAGTCGGCCCGCATAGCTGGTTGGATATCCAGGTTAATCAAAAAAAAGTCTACAATTTATGAACTTGACACTCTGGGATAAACTGTGACATGTTAGAATCCTGCATCAGCTATACTCGTCTATATATGATGAAACTTCTCTCCTCAAGGTCTATTTTGGAGAGTAATATGACGGTTCCAAATATTCACAGTTTTGTATATCATTCAAGCACGTGTGCATGAACCAATTGTGTGTTAAAGCTTATGTTTTATTTGTCTATGTTTATTTTATAAAGTTAGTTAATAGATGACGGGTGTCTAAGACCATCTCGAATTCTTGTTAGCAAAGAAATACCAAAGTCGAGGAGACATTAAGACCAAAAATTGTTTCAACTTCGACCATATAGTATATATGACGTTTAAATGAGAACATGACATGTGTCATTTCTCTCCCAACAACATTTTGTCAGTGACTTTGCAGTATGATTGGAGCACACTGGCTAGTAAAATGCAATGTGCGATTGTTGTTGCTCTAATGGGAGCAACAAGATTCATAAAATAGTACAGAAGATGCTAAATCTTCTTCGACGTTGATTTTTTTGTACCGTAAGCATACGGACCAACTTGTGCACACTCGATTAGTCTCATGGAGCCATGACATTAACAGTTTGACAAACATACTCGAGTGGCCTAAGGGGATTTAAACTGGTAACCACCATGGAGTAAACCCAAGGTCTTGACATTTAGTTAAACTACCGCTCATGATTCCCATGTTGAACTTAAAATTCAAGAGTTAATTACAGATTTGGTCCCTATGGTTTGGTGGTTTTTACGAAACTGGTCCTTAAACATCTTTATTACAGAAGAGGACTCGTGCTATGTTGTTTTTTAATGAGTTGGTCTCTCACTCTAACAACCATCCAATTCCTCCGTTAATCTTGAAGACATTTTCATCCTTGTTTTCTTTTTCTTTTTTGTCTTTTTCTCAAGGGACCACTTTCGTAAAAATCACTCAAACCACAGGGACCAAATTCCAAGATTAAGTTTTTTAAAAAAATTTAAAGGTTTTTTATACTTTTAAGTTTATTAAATTAAATAATTATTATACTTTAATATATATTAATTATTATATTTTAAGTGTAGTTTTAATATATAATATATTCCCTTTCGAAAAAAATACATTTGCGTATTTGCACACACATATATGTACATGTGAAATATCGTGTGAGAAGTAAAATTAAGGTAAGAAGCGTAAGAAGGGATATGAACCTTTGATCACCTTTAATCTCAAAACTACCAATGAATTACGCTTGATACGGGGATTGATCAGGTGTATCATCTCATATCGGTGCATCTAATCCCAATTTGCATCCAATGGTGAAGATCTCTTCTTACGTTTCTCACATTAATAATTTTTCTCACTGGAACCCAACCCTATATGTATGTATGTGTGTGTATAGTGAGGTTCAAAGGAAAACCACATCTAATCAATCATTAGATTATTTGATTCAACGGATGCGATTAAATGGACATTTACAACAATAATTTTCAAATTAAGAAAACCTCACCTTCCCTACTTTTTATTCGGAAAACGACAAAATATAAACAAGATCGAGCGAAATAAATTACACCATATTGATGTATTTTTCATCATTTTTTGTGGTTTTCCGAATTTTCATTTATTTCGCATTTTCCGCTCTCTCTCTTTCTCTCAAAGCAAAATAACTGAAAAACCAGAAAACATAAAAAATCAGATAAAAGATATATCAATATGGATGTCAAAAAATTAACGAGAAAAATATGATTGTTTGTTGGTATAATTTAATATTTTTTTTTATTTCTTAGACTTAATTATAGATTTGGTCCATGTGGTGTGTGGTTTTTATGAAATTGGTCCGTTGAAAAAAGACAAAAAAAAAAAAAATGATGAAAGCGCCTTCAAGGTTAACTGAGAAAATGGATGATCGTTAGAAAACAACATACCATGAGTCCTCTTTTATAATAAATGAAATTTATAGACCAATTTTATAAAAACCACCAAAGTACAGGAACCAAATTTGCAATTAACTCTAAATTCAATTAAAAGCAATATATGTTTCCATATACATGTACTATGAAAAAAAACATGCATAAACTAAAACGATGAATAGAATAACATGTTAAAACCATCTACTTGTCCTTTGATCGGTATATTTCTCTTTAAAGATACAGAAAACTAAGGTGTCGTTTACCAAACGCTTATTCGGGTAAGCGCTTACCAAGTCACTTTACTTTATCGAATAAATATGACAAAGACTAAAAATCTTACCCGTTAAGAGCAAAGACAAGAATCGAGAGTCTTACCCGGTAAGTGAGGACGAAGACTCTTACCATGGTTAGCGCTTAGCGGGACAAATTATTGCATACGATACGTTTTAGTAAATAAAATCTTATCCAGTAAGTAAGCGATAGTGTTGAATTTTACCGTTAAGTGCTTACCGGATAAGTGTTTAAGTGAACGGCCCTTAAGATTTTATAGATATATCTTATTGTTCAGATGAGTTTTTTATGGATACATTTTTTTATTCAGTTGAATTTTTTTCAACCAAACATTCTCTGTATCGTAGTTTTTGCCATTTTGCTCTCCCTTTATACAGAATCACGCAAATACAGGTAGATAGTCTTTTCTGATCTTAATTCTCATTTATAAATTACTTTTCTTTCCGGTCTCAGGTTCTTCACTTTCCATTTCTTCTCGCTTTTCTGAAACTTACAAACTTTTTGGCCAAGCTTTTCCGCAAAAAGCTTTGCCAGTCAATAGATTTCTCAAAAACAACCAGTTTATGTATTAAAACAGATGATAGTATGCATACATTTCATCTCTGATCTTATCTTAAAAGATATATTATGTGTTTTGCATGGGACCGTGCGATTTGCATACAGTTTGAGGCTTTTTGACTTTTGATGCTTACATGTAAAATCGACTAAAGCAAATAAGCTTTAAGAAAGAAGAGAAGGGACCAAAGAAAAGTTATTACCTATTATGCATGCTTCTCGACCCAAATAAGTGTCAAACAATCAGTAGCGGATTTTGAAATTTTGGTAACTGAAGTAAAAAACCAGTTAACATCGATAAGTGGATACAGGGTTTATTTCATTTCTAGTAGGTTCGAAAGCGATAAAAGGGTATTTTGAAAGGTTATAATTTCTTTTTTAAAACGGTTGACTGGTTTGGTTTACCCCCAACCTCTACGAGGTGCGTCCGCCCCTGGAAAATTACTAAAAATGTTGTTTGGTGATTGCAAAATGATTAAGTGGTCAGAATGATTAAGAGGCTCTCATGATATAGTGCAAAATAAAATATAATTGTTTGGTAATTGTGTACAATGAAATTAGAGCTTTTAATGGTTAAGGGAGATTCATGATACAAAATCATTTAAAGGGTTTTAGAACCATTAAGAGACAGACTTTTATTTTACCAAACAAGATTCACCTCTTAATGGAACTATTAAGATGTAAACAAACCCCCCTTAATTTTCATAATAAAATGATTTAATATGGACAACAGACACATAATAACTTATCTGATTCGGTTATTGTTTGAATTAAAATATAATAATAAGTTAATAAAACTCGTTAAGTTGATTACGTGGAAATAAACATATCCTAATTGGATTTACTGGAATGATTATTGGAAGGATTTGAAATCTTTGTTGGGTAGGATTTGTAATGTAACTAAATTCTATTTTATTTAACAAATTATAAAAAATTAAAAATATAATTAAATTACTATTTTTATTAAGTGATTATTACAAAACAAATATTTATAACATATTTCAAAACAATATTACAAACAAATACCGAAAAATACCAACCACCCAGTAGGATTTGTAGATCTCATCTTTATGAGATTTTACCAACCACTCGATAGGATTTCTAAATCTCATGTTTTTTGGATCTCATTAAAATACCTGGATTTCAATACTGAGGGGTTGTTTGTTTACCTCTTAATAGTTTCATTAAGAGGTGAATCTTGTTTGTCAAAAAAAGAGTCTGCCTCTTAATGGTTTCAAAACCCTCTGAATATTTCAATACTGAGGGGTTGTTTGTTTAACTCTTAATAGTTCCATTAAGAGGTGAATCTTGTTTGGCAAAAAAAAGAGTCTGCCTCTTAATGGTTTCAAAACCCTCTGAATGATTTTGTATCGTAGGCCTCCCTTAACCATTCAACGCCCTAATTTCATTGCGAACAGTTACCAAACAATTATATTTCATTTTGAACTATATCATGAGAGCCTATTAATCATTCAGCACCAAATCATTCAGCAACTACCAAACAACCTCTGAGGCTGTCAAAGTACATTATTTCCCTTTTCAAAAAGCATAAAAGAGTTTGCTAGGAAAGTGTTAATCAAAGTGATAGACACAAGGGGGCCATGGGAAAACAAGACAATGATCATAACTTAGGGATCACTCCTATTTTATAATTGGTAACAAAGTAACCAAAGTCTATAAACGCATATTCAAGTACCATTCATAACCCACTTTTGATGGTGATTGTTATTGTTATGTATGACCCTATTTCCATGGCTTTTGCTCTTGTAACATCATTCGACTCAATTCAATTGGGGTTTGGTGCAACTCATCATTACACCAATATTGTAACAATACCTGTTAGAGTCTCACATTTGCTAAACACCATCAAAACATCTGTATATGTATATGTATCACAACTCTTCTACAGAGTGATTCAAAATCCTCCCGAACCTTCCAAGCCCATTTTTCAGTGAGCAAAAAATAGGTTGAGCTCGTTTGGGGTTGAAAGAGGACCCGATCCGGCTATTTATGCTTTAAGGCGGGCATGAGATTCGGGCTTTTTGTGCACAGCCATGGATCCATAAAGATGTGCAGTCTTAGCATGTACTCCATTGCATTCAGCATAACTTGGATGCAAGGTACAACCCAACAATGCATTCAAAGCAACAACTCTTACCAAATCTCACACTGTTAACAGCCCAGATGTACAATAGGGATCAACCACTTATTCAAACAGAAAACTAACATGCTGCATCTTAACCACAAATAGCAAGAGTCTTTTAAGAGCCTATAGTCACACTGTTAACCACATTCGGAACCACTTGTAGTTCATACTGCTTAGAAGAAGTTCAAAGGTATGCCCAATCATAGGGCGTGGAAACGGAAGAACTTATTACAACCTTAAACTGAACAGATTTGAGTAATCCTAAGGAAAGCCAACATTTGGTCCAGGAGGTGTAGGCGTTGGGATGTAAGGCATAAGCGGAGTGCCATGCTCGATTGGCCCAGGCCTTAGTGCTGCCGCCTCTGAACTTGGTACCGGATCATTAGGGAGGTAATCATCTACGCCTACGTTTCCATAACCATTTTCTTCATGAATATTACTCTCCTGTGAAAATAAATCAAGAATGAGCCAATATTTTGGCAAGTTTTAGATGATATTACCCTAAGAAAATGCCATCCTACCTTAAGCTTCCTGCTCGGCTTCGTTAAGTTCATGGGACTCTCATCTTGAACATCTTCACTGTCTGATAAAAGCCAGAAAAATGATCACTTGATAATCAACAACACCCAAAGGCATGCATGCACTTTACTTGTAAGCTTATTGAAAAAGCTCCTTTTGGTACTTCATATAGCTTATGGGTTCTAGATATTTTACATTATCATCTACTAGCTTATCAATTAAGTTGAGAATCTTCACTACCCTTTACAGATCAGCAACTATCCTTTGCAATGAAAACCTAAAAGGCACTCTTTTTGGTCCAAGAGTAGCATCAATTGGAGCAAGCTCAGAAGACAGATCGTCAATTGCAACCCTGAAAAGGTCTTATTGACCCACTTAGTCAAGAAATGAAAATGCTGAATATCTACAGACAGAGGCACATGCAGTTGATGACAAATTTCCACATCACACATCCTCCTCCTTTTGTTCAAATTTGCATGTGGAAATATATACACTTAGAACAAGCAATTAAGAACACCATCACAAGAAGCAGGAAAGATTCAAGTTGGAATTGCAGTGCGGAAGACAAATATTAGAGAAATTACCGGAAATCGGGGACAAGTAGACGCAGAGCAGAGCTGTTCCAAACACCACGAACAAAACCCAGAATCCCTTGTTCATAATGTCCGTCTTATGTCTATGGAATGGGACGATGAATTTAACTCAAGGTTCTGGGCCCAATTTCATGTCTAAGATTGAGAATTATGTTGCGATTTCTTCTGGTCAGGCCCACAAAGAAGTTGATGGGCATTGGGTTGGGCAGCCATGTGGTCAAGTCCACGGCTCCTCCACTCGGCCCATCTTTCAAGAATTGCTGTAAATTCGATTGCAAATGCTGGGCTTCCGTCTCTCTTAGGCAAGCCCCTGGCCCAGCCCAGGTATGACCACTTTTACCCCCTCCTCCCCTCTTCTTTCTAATTCTTTATACATCCACCCCCCTTAGTTACTGTTTCTCCCTTTCTCCTCGTCCTTCTCGATTTTCTGAAAAGCAAGTTAACGGAAAATCAAAAGGTCCTTGGGAAAAAAATGAAACCTCCTCTCTGGCATGGAATGGAAAAACCAACCATATCCTTCCCAACTCTTAGTTCTTAGTGGGTCTCGTATGCATAAAAACCCGAGATGTTATTTTGTCTCTAACCTAAGTGCGGATGTTGACACTCTAGTTGACATTCCTCTTTCGGTTGTTAAAAATTGGTGTGAAACCTATGCCAAGACTTTATGCAGTTACTTTGTGGGAAAGAGTCTGCCATTCCTCGTTGTCTGTTATTTTGCTTCTACACTTTGGTTTCAATACGGGATTGAAGATGTTTTACTAGATGGCCATGGAATCTTCTTGTTCAAATTTAGTAATGAAATTGGTTTAAAACATGTTATTGACAATGATCCTTGGACGTTTACAAATGTTCCTATTTTTATCCAAAGGTGGAGACTCGGTTTAAACCTTAATTCGACCAAGCACGATTGCATACCTCTATGGGTTAAAATTCATGATATTTCTTATGATGTTTGGAATGACGAGGGTCTCAGTTTCATAGCTAGTAAAATTGGTAATCCCCTTGCCATGAACTTTTGGACCGCGTATGTGTAAGTATGTCGCGAGTAAATCCGCTTTTGCATGTGTCTTCCTTGAAATCCCTTATAGGGAAAATTGGATGGAAATTGTTAAGGTGTGTATCCCGGATTAAGAGACTTTATCTATGACCATTCATTCTCTCCGGGTCAAGTATGATTGGAAACCGATTATATGCTCTCATTGCAAGATTTTTGGCCATACTGACTCATCCTGCATGCCTAATTTAGTAGTTATGAATGTTACTACCACCTCCCTAAAAGAGAATGTTTCAGTTGGAAAGAATGTTGTGACTGATAGTGAAGGTTTCTAAAGTCTCACACATAAGAATAGCAATCAAGCTAAAGCTCATTTTCAAATGTTATGTCGGCAAGCCAAAAGGAGGAGACCCATAAGAAGGCAACCAACGAGAAGCAGGTTCAAGGTAAACCGAAGGACAAAGCAAAGACCCCCTCACGCCATGAGTTTTGATCGGTTCAAAGAAAGAACCCCTTCCTAAGAGGGATTCCCCCCAATGGTTTCCCCCAGCCATAACCCCCTTTCTCCCCTATACCTCCTATCCTAAGATGTATCTCTTCAAATAACCCTAAACCCATATCTTTAAATCAAACTAAGGTTACAGCTCTCTCTTCTAATCATTTCTATATTCTTGGTGACCTGGTTGAGTCTAAGGCCACTGGATCTCCTAGATCCCCCCCTCCCACTCCCCAATCCCCACATGGCTCATTTTGAGGCGTATATGAACCCCTTTGATCTGGATGACCTCCTCATTGATGAGGAAATGATTGAGGTAGATTCGGATGATGGTGCCACTTCCCGACTCATCATATGTGATTACTTACCTTCTCAAGAGCCCGTTCAGTTAGTCTCTAACCATCCCTTTGTTTTCTCATGTTGAGCCTTGCCTCTTGGAATTCTCGAGGCCTATGTAAGCTCTCTCATCAGAGAGCTATGAGAGACCGTATCCGGGATAATTTACCTCCAAATTTGTGTTGCTCTTGAGACGCGTGCTCCTCTATCTAATCTTCCCTCTCTTTGTGATAAAGTTTTTGGTCCTTGGTATTAGGCGTCTAATGGTTCCCTTTGCTGTAGAGGTACTCTTATCATTATTGCTTGGAACCCTATCCATGTTGACATGATGCTTCGTAATTCCACTGATCAAGTGATGCATTTCCATGTTAGGATCTAGGGCACCAATAAAAATCTCTTTGCTTCCTTTGTCTATGCGAATAACTACCATATCATCTGGTGCCAGTTATTGGCTTCTCTTAAAGCCCATAAGCAGGTTGTTAAGAGTTCTCTTTGGTTTATTATGGGAGACTTTAATGCTGCTATTGACTCTAAGGACATCACTTATGGTATGTTGGGGGTCACTCGTAGTATGGATGACTTTTGTGAGTGTGTTCGTCGCCTTGAGGTTGAGGATATCAACTTTAAGGGTTTTTTCTATACTTGGTCTAAGAATCCTAATGGCTCTACTAGCCTTCTCAAAAAGATTGATCGTGTGTTGGGTAATTCTCAGGTCCTCTCAAATTTCCCTTCGGCCTCTATTATCTTTCACCCCTATAAGTCCTCAAACCATAGTCCTGCTGTCCTGACTCTCTCGTTTCGATTATCTAAAAAACCTAAACCTTTTAAATTCCTAAACCTTTTAAATTCCTAAACATCCTCACTCACAAAGTGGCCTTCAAGGAGGTGGTCGTTGCTAGTTGAAACCCTAATCTCTCTGGCTACAAGAAGTATAAGATCTTTCAAAATCTAAAACTTCTCAAAGGCCCCATTCATAAATTTCTTAAAGATCAACGTAATCTTTTCACGAAGGTCTCCAGTCTTAGGCTTGAGCTTGATAGGGTTCAAATCGCTCTTGATAGGGACCCTGATAATGAGGTCATCCACTTCAATAAACTTGTATTTCATTAAATCGGTATCAACTCATGAAGTAAACACAAAAACCCCTTTATATCATCAAGAGAGAATTAAAACGAGAAAGATAAGAAGGGGTTCGATAGTATTCACATCCATGTCGTGAACATTTAAATTTGGGTAATGAAGGAGATCATGTGGGTTTGCAGGTGTTGAATTGATGAAGAAAGGTGTATTTAACGGAGAAGAAATTCAGTAAAGAGGAAGGGGGGATTTGAATGTGGTTTGTCTTTGTGTTGCAGAAGCAGTGGGCAGTGCATAATAATCATATTCAATGCGAGCATCACTTTTGAATTCGCGCAGAGGGTTTTCAACACCTGTCGCTTGAGCATGATGCCTCTCCGTTTTTTTTTAAATTAAAGCCTCGCGGCCATTGGTATTTTCATAAGATGATGAATTTAAGAGATTGTATTTCTTCAGAAGATCAATTACATATTTGGACTGATTGATGAATATCTCTTCTGAAGATTGTTTTATTTGAAGACTTAGGAAGAAAAACTAAGTTCTCCCATCATACTCATCTCAAATTTACTTTTCATCAGGTTTGAGAATTTTTCACAAAATTTGGAGTTAATTGAGCCAAATATAATGCCGTCCACATATATTTGGAGAAATAAAATATCACCTTTGTGTATTTTGAGAAAGAGAGTTGCCAATTGTACCTTTTTCGAATACATTGGCAATGAGAAACGTAGATAGTATATCATACCAGGCCCTGGGTGCTTGTTTGAGCTCATATAGAGCTTTATCCAGAAAGTAGGCGTACTTTGGTTGTTTGACGTTCTCAAACCCACGTGGTTGTTGAACGTAGATTTCTTCTTGTAATTTGCCATTCAAAAAGGCAGACTTGACATCCATCTGATAAACCTTGAATCCCTTGTGTGTTGCATAGGCTAAGAATTGTTTCAAGCCTAGCAACGGGAATGAAGGTTTTGTCATCGTCTATCCATTCTTCCTGGCAGTAGCCCTTGGAAACCAGCCTAGCCTTGTTCCATATGACTATGACATCCTTGTATTTCTTGTTTCTTAATACCCATTTGGTCCCCATGGCGGTTTTACCTTTTAGGATATGCATAAAGGACCATACTTTGTTCCTCTCAAACTGAAGCAGTTCTTCTTGCATTGGATCTATCCAGTTTGGGTCTTGTAGAGCTTCAAAAACTTTCTTTGATTCTACCATGCTTAGAAAGTTTGCAAAGAGACATTCATTTGCGGTGACAGACCTTGTTTTAACACCAGAGGTTGGATCCCCGATTATTTTGTGATGAGGATGGTCTTTAGTCCATTTGGTGCTAGATTGGGGTTCTTGAGCAATGGAATGCAATTCTTCATCGATAGGAGTTGTAGATGGAACTGCTTGCTTACCCTCAAATATATCTTATCCAAATCCTTGTTCCGGTTTTAGAAGAAGTAGATGGTGAAGTAACAGGAGATTCAGGAAGAGTTGTACCTTCATTATTGGATATCTCATGAACTTCATCAGCTTTGGAAGATGATTTTGCATTGGGTATCAGACCAGATATTTCATCTTCTTCTTCAAACAAGTCTTCAAATAGGTGAACGAGTTCTGATTCTCTTGACTTGTGGTGTGATGAATCAGAATGCTTATGGGTCTGCTGGAGTTCTAAAATGTTGTGTCTAAAAGTCATTAGTGATGCATCATCAACGAACACGTTAATGCTTTCTATGACAATCTTGGTATTCTTCATGAATACTATGTAGGCCTTGGCGGTTTGAGAGTAGCCTAGGAATATTTCCTCATCTTCTTTTTTGTCAAATTTTCCTAGATGTTCTATGTCATTGGGTATATAACATTGCACCCAAAGACATGGAAATATTTGACTTTTGGACGTCTCTAGTTGATGAGTTCATAAGGGGTCTTCTGGTGCCTCTTGTTAATGATGAATCTGTTCTGGGTGAAGCATGCTATGGAGATGGCTTCTGCCTAGAAGGAGATGGGTAGCACTGATGAAGCAAGCATCGTCCTTATTGATACATAAAACAATGTAGATAACCACTTTTTAAAAATTACATAGATAATTTATTCCAAAATGAGAACGTTTAAGGAATTAAACATTTAAAATGAAAAATTCAATGGTTTTATTTGTTTAAAAAAATTCAAACTTATTCATTT